CTCACCTGGTGCTGTGTGTGTGTGATGGCAGACTGCGCTGTGCTCACCTGGTGCTGTGTGTGTGATGGCAGACTGCGCTGTGCTCACCTGGTGCTGTGTGTGTGTGAAGGCAGACTGCGCTGTGCTCACCTGGTGCTGTGTGTGTGTGATGGCAGACTGCGCTGTGCTCACCTGGTGCTGTGTGTGTGTGATGGCAGACTGTGCTGTGCTCACCTGTGTGCTGTGTGTGTGTGATGGCAGACTGCACTGTGCTCACCTGGTGCACTCCATCCCCTGGACTGTGGACAGAGCGGAGCTGCCTGAGGTGAGCTCTGGACCTGCTCAGCCCTCGGAGGATCTCGAACACCCTTCCCACTGCGGTGCGGGCCACGTCATCCGTCAGCTCAGAGGCAGAACAACACCCTTGAAGGACAAGCAGACACAAGTTTCCTTTCACACCTCAAAACACAAAACAAAAAAGAGAGTGATGTCTGTCGGCCAGATGTTCACCTTGGACACACCCCAAAATGACTCCACAATAACTGGGACCACGACACATTTCTTTATCCAAAACAGACCTGGAAGACAGGTATTTTCTTAAAATAATAATAATAAACTTTATTTCAAATAGCACCTTTAAAGGTGGCTTTTCAAAGCGCTTTACAGAATGACATCAACAACAAACACAAGATATTCACAGTGAGAGGAGACAGCAGAGGGGGGCACAGAATACAGGAGGAGCAGAGGGGTAAATGATAGAGCCAGTGAAGTAAAGGCCCTCCTAAAGAAGAAGGTTTCGAGTCTGGATTTGAAGGAGGTTAGGTAAGGCGACTCTCTGAGATCCTTGGCAATAGAGTTCCAGAATTGTGGGGAGCAGCAGGAGAAGCCCTGTCACCCCTAGATTATAGACCAGAATTAGAGGAGCAAAGGCTGAAAGACAGGAAACATTCTGACTTCAGCTCTGACAATGGAAACTGGGGTGTAGGACTGGACCCTGGAGACCACCGATACAGCTTGTCTGGATTTTAGATTTAGCTAAAAAGACAAATATCATCATGGTTGGCACGGTGCCCCAGTGGTCCGGGGCCCGGAGATCGATTCCGGACCTGGGGTGCTGTCTGCGTGGAGTCTGCATATTCTCCCCGCGTTTCTGTGTGTTTCCTCCCGGTGCTCCAGTTTCCTCCCACAGCTCAGAGACATGCTGGTAGGATAGTCGGCTTCTGGGAAAATTGGCCCTGGCGTGAGTGTGCGCGCGCAGTGGACTGGCAAACACAGACACCAGGGCCAGGCGTGCCCTGCTTTGAGCCCGGGATAGGCCCCAGCTGCCCTGTCACCTAACATTGGCTAAAGTGGTTAGAAGATGGATTGATGGATGGATGTAAAACTATCACCCCTGAACAGCACATGAGCTGCCGAGTAAAGACTCCAAATATATTCATACCTTAAGACTTGTGTTTTATGCACTTAATAAACTACGATTTCGGCAGCTCCTCTGAGTGAACATAATGAAAATATTTTCTCTAAAAATGATACTGTAAACTTTTTCAGAGAGACTGAAAAGATTAGCCATTCCAAGGAAACTTGCCTATATGTACATATGTAGCACAGTACAGAGATAAGCTGGGTGATTGATGTGCCCAAACAAGAGTCCAGCACAGGAAACACATAGCTGGTTTCACATTTTCTGCTTCAACTAAAATTAAGAGTGCTTCCCAACACAATTTCCCAGACCACTCATTTATTTTGTTAATTGCATTACTGGATAATGATTTAATGTTCTGCATATTTCAGGATATTAGGGTAGGGTATGTATGAAATCCAATAGTAGGGTATATTGTGACTCACTTTACATTAACTTCTGTAGAAAACACATATAGTACGAATTCTTGCACATGGACACTGCAGACTGTTTGGTGTAGGTCTGGAAAAAAGCCATGAATCACAGACAAGGCCTTTAATGTGGATGACACACACTGGTGATCTGATTCATTCTGGCTCATCACAAATAAAACTCCTGCCCAGACTACATGAAAACGAAGACACAGATTTATTCAAAAAAACATCAGGAATCAGGGATTCAGAGATTCTGGGTAGAACTGTGTCTTCATTAAAGAACAATGGAGCTTTCTAACCAAATAGGAGCAAAATGGAACTATATAAACGATGATCTTGATTATTAAACTGCAGTTGCTACTAAATCTCACAACATAGGGAATGGAGATAAAGAAACTTATCAGAGTTCTTAGGCTTAATCTGCTTAAACTGTTATGTTTAAAGGTTTAATAGGTGTCATTTGTCAGGCTGTTACTTCCAGGCTGTAATTGTAACTCTTAAGTGGTTATTGCTGTATACAGTATGACTTTAGAATGAAAGCTGGTTTATTGTAAGGTACCATCATCATTAAGTTCAAGCATCTACGAGACATCTCTACTGGTAACAAATGGTCAAAACAGAAAATTAGATTAAATACAAACCATTCATAAGGCACTGAACTTGCTCACCCTGCGAGATCACAGCTCGGGAACATTTAATTAGATTAGGCAACGTTAGCCGGCATGCAGCAGAATATACACTTTCTCCTGCTACAACACATGCACAGCAACGGTACCTGGTATTGGGGGAAATAACACAGCCCGGCCACTTTCTGCATGAAACTGCTTTTCAAGAGCTGAATCACAATGCCTCAGGAAAAGCATGCTGCCTGTGTTTACAAGCAAGAAGATATGCATATAATTTGGAAAAAAAAAACAATAACAAAAATTCTGGGACTGCACGAAACATTCCTTTTCTCAAAAATATGTTTTTGTTTTTCATTCCAGATTTTTCAACAAGACCCACTTGTAAATTGAGCCACAGAACCCTGACGGATCTCTGCCGAGTCGCAGGGGGTGTCGGGTTAGTGAGAGGTAATGGTGCTGAACGGGTTATCTCATGAAAACGGTCACGCCCTTGCCTCCCCGCGTCAGGAGGGTTTGTCTCTACACCAGATACTGCTCACATCTCCGCCATTTCCCCTACAAGTGGAATGTGCTCGCAGAACTTTCCCTTCAAAGTCAAAGAGAAGCTTTGGAAGGTAATGTCAATACTGTGGTGCACAGCATTTCTGTCACTGGTCAACACTGGAGTCGTGTGCTTTTCTGAGAAAAGCTTCTTATGAGCTGTTTTAATACCTGTTGTTATTTTCCAGCAGTCTTCCTCTGACAATCCTAAAACAGGGACCCCTGTGTGAGCTAATCACTTCACTTGACACTACAGTGGGCTGAAGACGCACTGACTGGACTGTAGAGGTGACAGTGCGGTGAAGATGCACTGACTGGACTGTAGAGGTGACAGTGCGGTGAAGATGCACTGACTGGACTGTAGAGGTGACAGTGGGGTGAAGATGCACTGACTGGACTGTAGAGGTGACAGAGGGGTGAAGACGCACTGACTTACTCTTTACTCCTCAAGACTGGCCACAGCTATGTCGGCAGTAACTAGAAGAACTATTTCGGAGGGTGTGAAGGCAGCTCCTCCCAACCACAGGTCTGACACAACTCCACAGAGAGACCGGCTCGCTCAGCAGCAAAACAAACCCACACCCCTGCTGTTAGAGACTGCAGCGGCTCACTCAGAGGGGCGTCTCCTGAGGAGCAGCACACAGGCTGAAGGAAGGTAGCGTGAGAGGAAGGGTTTGAAAGGCTGCCAAGGAACACAGAGCTCGGCTGAGGACTGGCAGCATGACCTGTGGAGTTGCAATTTGCGGTTTGATTTGATTACAGCGAAAATGGCAGAAACAAGACCAGGTGCTGGTTTCAAAACAGCAAGGCGATATGCTGGAACGGGTTCTGACCCTCTCACGCAAAAACTTCACTTTCCTCCACGGTGCTGAAGGGGGCTGACGGCTTTGATGCCCGTCTGATAAAGAGCGGGCGGAACAGGATTGGGTTACGGACTTTCAGGGCTGTCAAATTAACGCAGAACGAAAAAGTATGTGAGCTGACAGATAATGAGCACGGCTGGAACGAAAACAAACCTTGTGAGGAGAGGAATCAGCCTACAGAACTGCCACTGAAAAGTTTCAGAAGCAGATGGAGTAAGAAAGAAAACACAAAGAAAACATTTCCGAGCTCTCTGCTCAATGCAAAATAATAATGAGACTAACAGCCTTCTGAAGGGGGCGAGGCTGGCTTGACGCCAGAGCTAATTAAAACATGACAAGGAAAAATAGCAGAAGTGTCTGACAGGCTGTTTATCAGAGCCAATAAGACAGATCAATAAAGGTTTATGATGAAAATGGTAAGCACAAAAATACCCCTTCCACCACAATCCCAGTGAACGCCCTACATTCCCAATGTCCTGCTTGAGAAGAGTGCCATCAAGAAGTGCAGTTTGTCTTCTCCACTTCTGTGTCCCGGATCTTAGATCTGACACGTGTGACAAGTGGTGCCATGTGCTCTGAACCGCAGGTTTGTTCCCTGGCTCCTCACTGACCTCACCGACATGAAGCTCGATTAGAAATCACCACGGTCAAGGGTTCAAAACGGGAGTGACGCAGTAAGCAGTTTGGACCGAAAGCCAGGTTCATGCTGTCCATCACCTTCAACGGACTTATTTGCTGTCCAATGCAAGGAGCATGCAGTCTGGCAGCAGAAGGAAGGAACTGTAACTGAACCTCAGCTGATCACGGGCTGCCCCGCTGTTGTGAGAGGGCCAGCCCTGGGGGCGAGCAGGTAAGCGTGAGCTTGCATTCCCATCGGCGCCCCCCTGTGGTGCCACCAGGGCTTTCTGGGACAGAGAACATGGCTGCTTTCCTTTTCCCAAGGCTGGTTTGACAACAACAATGTGCGTTTGGGTTCTCTAACAGCGTGAGAGCTGTGGGGGTATTGTCACGTTAGGGACTACAAACAAGCTGGAATTTTCCCAGGATCAGTGGGACAGGGAATTAAAACACACCGGCAGCCAGCCGAGCCCCAGGAGCCAGTGGCAGTGCCAGGCTGTGTCCTACTGACGAGCAGGTCAACGTCTGCCAGCAGACTGGCACACAGGCAGCAAGCTCCCCGGCTTCATTTCTCAAAGACAGGTCTTCCTGGGCTGCTTTTCGAACCTTGATGAGTATAACTGAGGTCTTTATAACGATGTGCTGTTTCCTTCTCCTACCCTTCTGCAGAAAAAAAGGTCAGTGACCTAGAATTTCCAAGTGAAATAAAAAGGCAGAAACAATCTGAGAAGGACAATAGGGCCGCCAGCGCGTTCTGCCGAAGTGAAAGCGCCCTTGAAATGATTTGGTGGGTAAATTTGTCAGAGCAGCTGCACTCTAATCATTCAAGGAGGTCAAACAGCGATAATGCCTGTGTCTGTGAAGACGCACAAAGTCACACAACAAAAAAAATCAGAACACACGGAATTCCTTTCTCACCTTTTATCAATGATGCTTTCTTGCT